TTGCCCCACAGCCAAGCTGTACTCCACCTGGGCTCAGGGTATATTTGGAAACTGGCAGATGGGCCAACCAATGCCTTCAGCTGGCACCCCTGCTTCCCTGACCTCTGTGAGGACTTAGGAGCTGAGTTCTAAGAGGCTTTGCCAATGACCTGGTGGTTACGGTGACTGGATCCCACATGGCTGACTGTGTGGTTTGAATCTTGGATCCAGTGGCTTGAAAAACATGCAGGATGCATGTGAGGGTGTGCCCAAAATCCTCAGAGGAGACTGGAGGAGGGATTGTGGCAAGACCTTCCCCCTAGGGGATGATTTCTCACTTGTTTTGACTCTCTTGATTGTGGCAAGGCCTTCCCCCTTGGGGATGATTTCTCACTTGTTTTGACTCTCTTGCACCCACGAGGGCATGAATCCTATGGCAAAAATTTAAAAGAAGAAGAAAAAAATCCCAAGAAGAGAATAGAAGAGAAGGGATTCAGCATGCATAGCCATTCCCCAAGGGGGTGATTTCTCATTTTCCCCATCTCAGTCTGGGCTTTTGCTTAGCCCTCTCTGGTTTGATTCTAAGAAAGGACTTGAGGGGACCAGCAGGTGGTGTGGTGGTTGGGGAGCTGGACATTCCCACATGGCTGACCACGGTTCAAATTCCAGACCTGATGGTTTGCTTTTTTACTTTCTCTCTCTCTCTGTGCATGTATCTCTGGTCAAATTAAAATAAATGAAAGAATAAATCAAATTAAATAAAAAAAATTCTTTAAAAAAAGAAAAAAGAAAGAAAGGACTTCATGTTCTTTTGGAAATGACCTTGCTCTGGACTCGGGGGTGAGATGGGTTGACCAGATGTTCAGCTGGCCTAGTTAGAAAGGCTTTGAGCAGAACCCTGTAAAAACAATTTTTTCTCAGGTATTTTTTCCATGTCCTTCCTCTTCTGTGGACCAAGGAACACCACCAGGCATGGGTGTGGCCCTCTTCTTCTGCAAATTCAGTCTCCTACAGTTGCTCCAGGCCCATGGATGCCCTGGTCAGTGTGTGGGAAGCAGGAATACAGAGGACTTTTGCATGAATTAAATAAATGTCAGAAAAGGTTCAGGCCAGCAGGTGACATAGTGATTACCATGCTGGACTCCCATGTGGTCAGCCTCAGTTCAAATCCTGGACCTGGTGGCTTAAAACTCACTTTGGGGGGACCAGCAGGTGGCATGGTGACTAAGATGCTAGACACTCCCACATGGCTGACCATGGTTCAAGTCCCGGACCTGGTGGCTTTCTTTCTCTCTCTCTCTCTCTCTTTCTCTCTCTCTCGTTTTTCTCTGATCAAATTAAAATAAATGAATAAATAAAATTAAATAAACAATTATTAAAAAAAAAAAACAACTACTCATTTTGGGTGTGCATGCGTGTGTGCCCAAAATACCAAGAAGAGAATGGAGAAGGGATTGCAGCATGGCCATCCTCCCCCGGGGTAATTTATTGCTTTCTTTTTCTCTGTCTCTCTGGGCAGCGTATGTACCCTATAGCAAAAATCTCTCAAAAAAAAAAAAAAAGAGAGAGAGAAGGAGAAGGGGACAGACATCAGGCAGGGAGGATGTGAAGTTGGGGCTTGAATTCAGCCCCTGAGCTCTGAATGTGTCTGTGCAGTGCCGGATGCCTTCTCAGAGGCACAGCCACTTTGGGTGAAAAGCCTGTCGAGGTATTGCTTAGTGGTGGATGGGAGCCCCTTTGGTTGGTTCCGGGTGTCAGGGCTACAGGCGTTCAGAGAAGTGAGAATTAGTCAGGGCTGGAGGGAGCAGCCCAGAGAAATTTGTGGAGGACAGTAGCTGACAGAAACTGTGGTCAAAGTATGGAAAATCACGTAGAGGAACCTCAGGATTTGACTAGCCCATTCCCTCACAGCAAGAAAACACTTCTGCATTTTACACTGAAGGCATATTTGTATCCCAGCACTGGCCTCTGGCCCTTGGCCTCTGGCTTGGAAACAAAAGGGAGTTGTTTGGCTCCTGAGCTGTTTGCTTACAGATTAGGTGCTGCCTAGAGCATCTGGTTTGGGAAAGGGGTGTACATTTGGAGGGTGTGAGTGTGGGGCTGCTGTGCTGCTCTGCCAGAGATCGCGAATGTCTGATGTGGGTATTTGTGGGTGCGGACAGTCTGGACCAGAAAACCTCTTCCCTCTGCTCCACATCCATGGAGTGGTGTAGACCTCAGAAGACATCTATCCTCATAGTCCCTCTCCTACACTGTCCTCCTGACACATGGCCTTTGTTTAAATCATTGGGGCCAGTAGGTGGCGTGGTGGTTGGGGCAGTGGACTCCCACATGGTCGACCACAGTCTGAGTCCTGGACCTGGCGGCTGACTTTCTTACCTCTTTTTTTCTCTCTTTCTCTGTGAGTGCACATGCCCTATGACAAATTTGAAAATAACAGTAATAAATAAAATTAAATACTTCTTTTTTTGAGAGATTTTTGCTATAGGACACATGTGTTCACCAGAGAGACAGAGAAACAGAAAGAGAGAAATCACCAGCCTCCAACCCCAGGGGAGATGCCCATGTCACAGTCTCTTCTCCTCCATGCTCCTCTCAGGATCTTGGGCATGCATGCACATGTGCCCAGTATAAGTTTGTTTTTTATTTTTAATTTTTCTTTATAAGCTAGACAGTTATTTTTTTTAGAATTGATTTATTTAAGTTATATTTTTTAATTGACCAGAGAGAGAAAGAGCGAGAGAGAGAGAGAGAGGAAGAGAGAGAGAAAGTGAGAAAACAAGCCCCCACGTCTGGGACTCGAACCATGATTGGCCATGTGATAGTACAATGCCCTTAATCAACATGCCACATGCTGCCCCCCAGCATTTTTTTAAAGAATTATTTTATTTAACTTTATTTTATTTATTTATTTTAATCAGAGAGAAAGAGAGAGAGAGAGAGAGAGAGAGAGAGAGAGAGAGAGAGAGAGAGAGAAAGCGAGCTTCCAGGTCCAAGACTTGCCTTGAACTGCATTCGGCCATGTCCGTCCAGTGCCCTTAACCACCATGCCAACTGTTGGCTCCTAATTTTATTTATTATTTTTTTTTAAAAATTGCTATAAGTTGGGGGCCGGCAAGTGGCATGGTGGTTAAAGGTGCTGGACTCCCACATGACCGACCACGGTTCAAGTCTCGGACCTGGTGGCTTGCTTTCTCACTTCCTCTCTCTCTCTCTCTCTGTCTCTCTCTGATCAAACTGAAAAATAATAATGATATAATAATAAATAAAGTTTAAAAAATTCTTTTAAAAAATTGCTGTAAGTCACATGCACTAACTAGAGATAGATAGAGACAGAGAGAGAGTGAGAAAGCAAACCACTAATTCTGGGACTCTAACCATTGTCAGCTAGGTGGGAGTCCAGTGCCTTAACTACCATGCCACCTGCTGGCCCCCTGATGTCATTCTTGATTCCTCCCTTGCCTAACCCTACCCATTACATTCATTAGCAAGTCTTGGTGCAACTTCTGAAATGTGTATCATATTCATCCTTTTTAATTTTTCCATTGCCACTCCTTTCATTCTGCCTCAAGCAATCATCTCTCCTGGACAACTGTTCTAGCTTTCTAGCTGGACTCTGGGCTTCTCTCCTTCTTCTCCATTCTCCACCGAGCAGCCAAAATGCCCTTTTAAAAATACTGGCATGGGGCCAGGTGTGGTGGTTGGGACAGCTGGATCCCAGATGGCCAACTGCTTGGTTGAGTCCCTGACTGAGCAGCATGAGAAATATGTCGTGTGCGGGCTAGCAGGTGGTATGGTGGTTAAGGTGCTGGACTCTCACATGGCTGACCATGGTTCAGGTCTCGAGACCTAGCGGCTTGCTCTCTTACTTTCTCCTTTTTTTTTTTTTTTGTTTTTGAGAGGTTTTCACTATAAGGCGCGTGCATTCTCCATCCAAAAAGAGACAGAAAGCGAGAAATCATCCCCCAGGGGGGATGTCCACGCCGCAATCCCCTCTCTCTCATTCTCCTCTGGGGATCTTGGGCACTGCTTTCTCACTCTCTCTCTGTCTGTCTCCCTGATCAAATTTAAAAAATAATAATGGTGCTAAATAAAATGAAATAAAATAATTCTTCAAAATTAAATTTGTTAATTAGAAAAAGAAGTCAGTTGTTAACTGTGACACACAAGGCTCCTTCACACTCAGGTTTCCTTCCTATCATGCTCATTTATTTGCTTATTGTTCTAAGGCTGTTTTTCCTGCCACAAGTCCAGAGGTGAAAAGTTGCCACAGAGACCTTATGACCTGCAGATCCTAAAATATTTTCTAGTTGGAACAGGAAAAGTTTAGTGATTCCTTTTTTGGCCTTTTGCCATCTCAAGTTCACTGCTATATCTGTGTATGCATGTCACTTGGAGCACACACGTTTCTGTATAAGGAATGTAGGTGGCTAGGCGTCACTATTTGTCATTTTCATTTAGCCGCCAATAGCTATGCGGAGAAGTTGAAACAATTTATACATCTCCAAGAAAGCATGCTTGGGCCTGTTCCCGCACAGCCTGCATGAACTGTGTTCACTTGGATTTGCCAATCTGATAAGTGAAACGCGGTCGATCTCATTGTGATCTTAAGTTGCTTTTCTCTTATTTGGAATAGAAGTTAGTTAGCATCGTTTCTTCTACCTAAAAGTGTATGTATTTTAACTCCTCCTGAACCCTTCCTTGCGCAGTGCTCTCGGGACCCAGGACGCAGTAGCTGGCAAGACGCAGGATGCCGGGTGTGGCCGAGGGGGGGAGGTGGGAAGCGAGGGCCCAGACCGCTGGGTTCTTTCCTCCCCCCCACCCCGCGGTGGAGCCCCGCCCCCAGCCCGCCTCCGGCCGGCCTGGGCGGAGCACAGGACTGGGTGGGAGGCGCTGAGCTGCCTCATTTATTCGGGTCCCGGTGCTGAGGGAGCTGGAGTCCCGCGGGTCTGCGCCACCGACCGCGCTGTCCCGCAGCATGCAGGGACCCCGGCTGCTGGCCGGCGCGCGCGTGTGCCCCCCCCGCCTCTCCGCTGACTCGGGTGAGTCGATCGCGCTGCCCCAGCGCCCTCGCCCCTCCTCTCCACGCCGCTGGGAAGTTCTCCGCGGTGCCGCCCCACCTCCACTGTTGACAAACTTGGGCGAAGCGCCGGGAGCCGAGCGAGGGGCGCCCTCTCCAGCTGCGCCTGGGCGGTTGAGAGGTTCGCGCGCGGCCTCTCCTGTAGCCTCGGCGCTGGGGCTTTTGGGCAGTGATGGAGGCTAGCGCGTTGGGCGGGGACCCAGGACACTGGGTGACAGCCTCGCTGTCCCTAGGGAGGCGGCTTACACATAACAAAGGAATCCGCTGTGTCGGGCCTCTCTTTTCCCCTCTGTAAAATGAGGCCGTTGTACTGGGTGTGTCGTTCGATCACTTCCTACCTGGGAGATTCCTGGACTCCTGTATGGACGAGTCTTCAGCCAAACTTTCTCCATGAGCTTTCTCCCACCCCGCTGGGCTGCACGGTTCGCTGGAGTTCACCCCCAGTCTTTTGAATCTGGTCAGATAAAGGGCTGTGAAGGTTGTGGGATGGACCAGCTGTCGGTGGTGGGCCCTGGAAGGACAAGGAGGCTGGAGGAATGTGGAAAACGGCTGCCTCCTGGTGGGAGGGTCCTGACGCCCTCCCTCCCGCGGCCTTGGAGGTTGCTCTATCTTCTTCCCTGGGCCTCCTCCTCCGGCCTGGAGGCCTCCAGCCCACAGCTGGACCTTCTGCCGCCTGGTCGTAGGACTTCTAGGGAAGGGGGTGCCCACTGCAGATGGGGTGCCAGCTCTTCGGGCTGCCGCTCCATCATCTGCACATAGATATGGGATTCATTGAAACAAGGAGATCGTAGCTGGACCCCGGCTCTGCCTTCTGCCCAGTCTGAGCCGCACAGCTGGAGCTTGTCGCTTTGGGGGCGCTCCAGTCTCCACGAACCTCGGGGCTCCTGGCCCTCTTTCTTCCACCCTGAAAATCTACTGGGTCTTTGCATGCCTTCCCTCTTCTCTCCATCCCTCCAACCTGAGCCCTGGCTCCGTGTCCCCAAGAGCAGGACCCTGAAGCCCCAGAGATGGTTTTGCACAGGGTGACCCGGCTTTTCCCGGCAGGGGAAGTACCAGGTCTGCCTGAACTCCCCAGGTGACTCAGGCCTTCACAGTGTAGGGTCTGGCCAGGTAGGGGGACACCTTTTACTTTCCCTTTTGCCCACTGGAACCTTTCACCCTGGAGCAGTCTAAGGGCAGGGTGCTGCTGGGAGGGGAGGCAGAGGAGCCCACGTGGGGACAGGAACGCAGGATCCTGGCCATTGCCTAGCCTCTGTGACAAAGCCCGTGCCTTGCCAGCCAGGTCAGAGGAAGGGATTAACCTGCTATTTAAAGCCAGTGACTAATAGCTGCTTGGGTGCTGCCTTAAGCTCCCCAGGCCCCGGCTCGCTCATTAATGGTGTGCCTTCCCTGGAGCTGGTGTGCTCTCTGGGGTTCACAATTTCAGGAGAGTGTTCCAGTCCGAGATGGGTGACACTGCTGGGGGGTTGGGGAGGGGGGAGACTTCTCATGTCTTACCCCAGATGACATGTTTGTGGGAGGATCTGGGCTGGTCAGATCAGCTAGAGGGACCTGGCGGGTGGCAGTGCACTGGTTGACATGAGAGTCAAAGGTGAGGCTGGGGTAAGGCCCTTCTGAGAGAGAGAGCCTGCACGGGACTCCCTTCTGGGTGTGGAGATAGGGGTAGGATCTGAGGGCCACCTGGCTGTCCTCCATATATTCCTTCAGGTCACAGAACTATGCCTGTCCTGCTGCTCCCTCTCCTCTGTTCCCCAGCATAGCTGCTAGAAAATATCTGTCGATCAGGACCCCAGTCAGAAGCCTTGGTGGCCTCTCTGGTCCTCCACCCACCTCTTCACCTCTTAAGCCCCTGTTCCACAGGGTCTCCCAGATCTACCCCTCCCCTATACTTCTCTGCCCTGACTCCCTTCCCATCAGACTGGATTTCATCTGGGCAACCAGAGGGCTCTGTAGTCCCAGACCCTCCCTATCCCAAGGAAGCCTTTCTACCTTCTCTTTCCCAGAATCGGAACAGGTTTCCCCACTCCTCCCTTGTGCCTGATAATCTCTATGGTTTTCTTTTGTGTTTCCTATTGGACGGCAGTGGGTAGGCTGAAGGAAGGTTAAGAGCAGGATGCAGTCAAATCTTACCATTCTCAAGGTCCCTCCAGTTTGACTCCACCCTGCTCTTGAGGTTGCCTCTGGACATAGCATCCTCCAAGCTTCTGCTCCTTATTCTCTAGCCTGGTCCTCTCCCGCTCTCTTTTAGACCCAGCTCAAATGTCCTCTCCAGCTCCTGTCCATCTCCCTGGCAAACATCATACTCCCAGTGCCCTGTGCAGGCTCCTGCTAGAGCTCATAGCACTGTTTGGTCATCTCATGACTTGTCCTTTCCCACTGGCTTCCTGTGGCCTGGTTGTACCTGATGTCTCTGTCACCACCCCCACCCCCCAACAAATGTTGATTGAATGATCCCTTGCTATTCTGAGTCAGGACTGCCATTGCAGGTGACTTCTGTGACTCCAACCTGTGCCTGAATGGTGGCACCTGCCTGGTGCGCCAGGACAGTGTCCCTTTCTACTGCCTCTGCCCTGATGGCTTCACTGGTCTTATTTGCAATGAGACTGATAAAGGTAACTGCCCTGGGCGGGGCCTGCTGTTTACTCCACACCCTCAGCTCTTCCCGTGTAGGCAGTGGTCCATAGCATCACTGCTGGTAGCCAACATTTGCCTGGATGCTCTTGGGCCGTTGGGTGCTTCCCATATTTGAGCTGATTGGCCTTCCTGTGACCTCCTGGGTTTCAGACTGGTTCAAGCTCCAAGCAGATTGGAAGATGGGGAGAGGGAAGACTGAGTTTGTGAGTCTGGGCGGAGAGCCCATTTGGCGCTGTGTCCACTTGCCATTTCCTAGATCTTCCTGCAGCTTCTTCCTGATCACCTGCCCATCTTAACCTGCTTGTCTTCCCTAGGTCTCTGTTCCTCAAACCCCTGCCAGCATGATGGCATATGCCAGGTGATTGACTCACAGCGAGGGGATGTCTTCACCCATTACATCTGCGAGTGCCCTCCAGGCTATGTGGGCATCCACTGTGAGATCCGTGAGTATCTGGGGGTGCCTGCTCCTGGGGGCACACTCTGAGCCGTGGTCCAGGTGGCATGGGCCCTGTGCTCGTCCTGTTCTCTTTGTCAGGTCTGCCTCTTGTGAGGTTAGAGAGGGACAGACTCAAGGGAAAAGGGTCTTGTCCTTCCTCAGCTGTTTCCTCCTCTCTCTCCCAGGACTGCAGGCCAGGCCTGATGTCGCCACAGGGGAATGAGGGGTCGTGGGAATTCTGTGTCCTGAGTCACATTAGAGCTAAGTCTTAGGATTTTTCTATCAAGAGAGGAAAACAAACACATTCTTAATCTTTTGGGGCCCAGTAGCTGGGTATATTAGGCTTGTGGTCTCAGGGCTTGACAGTTCCTGGCCCAAGTTTGACCTGAGGCCCCATCTCGGAGCTCTGGGAGGAGGGAGAGGCCTGGGCAGGCTGGGCTGTCCTTTCGAGGTTGGCAGTCAGAGGTTCCGTGTGTGCAGGGGCTGACCCTGCTGGCCCTGCTTAGCTATCCACTTGAGGGTCCGCCATTGCTGCCAGCATCTCTTCACATTGCCTAGCGAGTCTCTCCCACCCTGTGCTTCTAAACTGGGTAGGTCCCATTCTAGCCCTCAGGGGTAGGTGGAGTGGGGGGGTGGAGTCCCAGGTTCCTATAATCCAGCCATCAGTCACTGAGCGTCCTGGGCAGAGAACGTGGGCACAGACTCTGACCTACAGCAGAAGGGGGAGGCCTGGGGGCCTGCTGGGTGGGCACCTGGGGCCTGGGGGAAAGCAGGGAAAGTGGGCTGGTGCCCTGCACCTCAGTGGAGGAAGTGCCCAGGGCCTGTGCACTGAGGTCACATGTGTTGGAGACCCTGAGTGGAAGGATCTGGGGTGTGTGTGTGGGGGAAGCATCTGGGGCAGACATTCAGGTGGGCCATGCGGGCCCCCTAATTACTGCACCGAAAGCTGAGGGAACCACAGGCATGCCGGGGCTGGAATGACTCACCCAGCCTCCTTTGGCAGCACCTGGGCAGACAAGGTGGGGGGAGGGCACACAGGAAGGAACGCCTCCCCAGAGCTACCTTTGCACCCCGCTTTGTTGTCTGATGTGTTTCCTTGGAGCCCCCATGTACTGGAGGTGTGGGGGAGTCCTGAGGCAGACTGGGGGCATCTGGCCTCACTTGATGCCTTACCTTCCCAGGAGAGAGTCCCCAGGAGACTTGGGGTGCTGGAGGAAGAGCCGGTGTGCCCCCGGGGTCCCAGTGTGACAGCTGGAAGGCCCAGACACCTGCTGGGGAATCCCTGAGGGAGGGGAAAGGCTGGGCCTGGCAGGCCTGGTAGCAATGCCACATCGACCACATCACTGGGCTAGTGTGGAAGGTGAGGGACTCCGGCCAGGGCACGATGACAGATGGTTGGGTGACGAGCAGCCACACTTGGAAGGGGCAGGTGGTGCGAGGGAAACCAGAATGGACCTCGTGCCCCATCTGGAGGACTCCTGCCAGTGGGATTCTAGAACACTCCGGGCAGATTTGCTGATGCTTTGTGGGCAGTGCTTGTACTGTTCACTGCCATCTGAGCTACCGCTGCTCCAAAGCCACCCTCTGGGGGATGCCAGGGGCCATGCACTGTTATTTTCTACACAAGCCAGATGATGACAAGAGACGGAGAAAGTACTCATCAGTGGGGCATGGCCATAATCCAGCCTTTCCCCTCCAACTGTCCCTCCTGTTGGGATTTTAGGCATATATGCATCTGTTCCTGGTGTGTTTTTCAAGCCGGGATTTGAACTACGTGGTTGGCCATGTGGAATCCAGCTCCCTAAACCACTAGTCCACAGTGCGGCCCCCTGTGGTATTTTCTCCTACCTATCCGCTCCCACACCTGAGTACTTGCTGCCGGATGCCGTGTGGGAAGGGGCCCACCTGCCCACACTGGGGGGAGGCCCCAGCACCAGCAGTTCCATGATGCCCAGGTCTTCTGACAGAGCTGGATCCCTCCTCCTCACCACCTTCCCCACCCTCACCATGTGCTTTCCCTGGGGAACCCCTCCTGGCACTGCTGCCTTCATTGTGGCTTCATGGTCGCTATCCTGGGAGAGGCTACTGAGTTCACCCGGTCTTTCTTCCTGTCTTGTCTTCTGGTCCCAGCTGGGCCCTGGAACCTGCCTGGGCAGTCACCGACTGCCCCCCTCCTCCATTCAGGCTGCTCCAGGCCTCTGGGCATGGAGGGGGGCGCAATTACTGATGCCCAGATCTCCGCCTCCTCCGTGTATGTGGCCTTCCTGGGAATACAGCGCTGGGGCCCGGAGTTGGCGCGCCTGCACCTCAAGGGCATCGTCAACGCCTGGACGGCCAGTAACTACGACAAGAAGCCCTGGATCCAGGTACGTAGGCCGTGGTAGAGATGGGGGAGATGAGTGGGCCTGCAGTGGGAGCCACAGGGGAGGGTTTACGGCCCCTGTAGGGGTCCAGGGGTGGAGTGTCTGTAAGTGGAAGACTGCTTTGGGGGCCTGGGTTGGGTGGGACAGGGTACACAGGCCCTAGGCTGTGGAGGGGCTGTTGATACTAGATGGAGCGTGGTCCCAGCCCTGCCTCCCGGCTTTCCCTGAGTGGAGACCGAGAGAGCCAGAGGAGAAAGCGCCCCCAGCTGGCAGGGCTGTGCACTCTGCCACCCTTCCTTTTTTCTGCCTGAGTGCTCCCCCCTGGATTAGGGGAGGGGGTGGGTTGGCCTGGATCTTGGATAGAAAGAACCTAGGAGATGAGGGCACCATCTCCCCTGCCCCGGTCCAGGTGAACCTGCAGCGGACCATGCAAGTGACAGGAGTGGTGACGCAGGGCGCCAGCCGCGCGGGGGTTGCCGAATTCGTGAAGACCTTCAAGGTGGCCTACAGCCTTGATGGACGCAGGTTCCAGTTCATCCAGGATGCAGAGAGGTCTGGAGACAAGGTGGGGCTTGCTGGGGCCCTAAAGAAGGGCTGCGAGGACCAGCAGTTAGCGTAATGGCTATGTCACTGGACTCCCATGTAGTCGACCACAGTTCGCCTCCCGGACCTGATGGCTTAAAACTCACGCCGGGCGCATGTGCATGCATGCCCAAGATCCCGAGAGGAGAATGGAGAAGGGATTGTGGTGTGGCCATCCCCCCCTGGGGGGTGATTTCTCGCTTTCTGTCTCTCTGTCTCTCTCTCTGTATGTCCGGTGAGTGCACGCGCCCTATGGCAAGTACCTCTTAAACAAAAATAAAGGACTGCAGTCCGCCCGGCTGACTGAGGGGCCCAACGAGGAGATGACACCCTGAATGACTGCCACGAGGGCAGCTGGGTCTTCAGGTGCATCTCCTTTTCCAGAAAATTGGAAAGCCCAGATCGTCCTCTTGTCCCGTGGTTACAAGTAACAGCCCCATTTTATAGATGAGAACAGCAAGGTTCAAATGGTGCAGTGACCTGCTGTGGGTGGTCGTGAGGGTGCGCTGGGTTACACTCTGAGCCTGCAAGTCGACCATGTGTAGTTGTGCAGGCGTACACCGCCCAAGATCCCGCTGCTAAGAGGCACCATCCACAGTAGACGCTGTATGTTTGTGGACCTCCCTCTGTCAGAAAGCTGTGATAACGAAGTGTCTCAAAAGGAGTGCTTTTTCCTAATTTGTGCAGAGGTACCAGGCAGCCCCATGAAAGGGATCTGCCTACACTGACCTGTCCTCTAATCCTGCACCTTTTCCCTCCTAGGTGTTTGTGGGTAATTTGGACAACAACAGCCTGAAGGTCAACCTGTTTAACGCCCCTCTGGAGGTGCAGTACGTGAGGTTGTACCCCCAGAGCTGCCACCGGGGCTGTACCCTCCGATTCGAGCTCCTTGGCTGTGAGTTGAATGGTGAGTGTGAGCCGCTGTGGCTGGTGCTAGCAGATGATTCCCCATCCCCTGTTTTCTCAGCCAGGCAGGTTTGGCTAGGGCAGCTGCCAGGCCAGCATCTGGGCTCATGGAGGAAACGCCTACTGGGGGCATCCCCTGCTGGCCATCGGCAGTCCGCCCAAGCATTCAACAGCTGCCCTTCTGTGATCCTGGGCATTGTGACTGGTAGAGAAGAAAAGATATGGCTTCTGCTTTCAGAGCATTTTCACTTTAACTCTGGTTGGTTTCCTTGAGCTTCTAGAACCTGCATTAGTTCAGTTTTGCAGATGTGAATTCGGCGAGGGCAGAGAATTGTTCAATGTATTCCCAGTGCCTGGGACAGGGTCCGGATCATAAATGTTCAATATGCGTTTGATGAGTGAATGAATGAATGAGGGAGAGGAGACCCACAAAAATCAAGGGTGCACAGCTGGTAGGTACTCATTGAGAGAGAGAGAGAGAAAAGAGAGAGGGTAACAGGGCCTTCCTGCCACCATCCCCCTCCAGTCTCAGTTGCCATGCCCCAGGGAGGTCACAGGATATGAACCCAGGACCTTTTCCATGTGGGTCCAGTTGCAATACTACTGTGCCGCTACCCGGCCCCAGCTGGTAGGTATTAAAACTTGGTCTAGTGGCTGGTAGGTGGCATGGTGGTTAAAGGCGCTGGACTCCCACAGGGTTGACTATGGTTTGAGTCCTGGACCTGGAGGCTTTGCTTTCTCACTTTCTCCGTCTCTCTCTCTTGCTCTGCCATTCTCTGGTCAGAGTAAAATAAATAAACAATAAATAAATAACGTTAAATAAAATAATTCTGAAAACAAAAACAAGATAAAACAAAAAAAAAAAAAAAAAAAGGTCTAGACCCCTGGACTTCTGACCACACCTATCCAGTGCTCTGCCTAAGAAAAGTATGGGGGCTTCATAAGCTTGGAGCTGCTGCCCTTTGCAGATATCCCCAGATGGAGGGATGGGACTAGAAAGAGACAGGTTTCTGCTGTTCCAGAGAAAAGTCAACCCTTGGTGGGGTCAGGCTGCAGGGTTTGGGCTCACACTCTGAAGCCCAGCTCATCGTCTTGCTGGGGTTTTCTCTTTTTGAAGCCACAGTGCCACTTGCTGGCCGCTGGTGGGAGTGCAAGGCACGCTAGGCAGGGCTGCAAAGCAGTGGGTGGTTCGCTGCCTTTTCTTGTTTTACGCAGAACCTCCCCTCCGGCAGCCCTTTTCCTGGTGGCACTTCTTCCCGTCACCTATGTCATATACCACTCAGTACCACTCAGGGCTGAGCTGTGCCTGGCTGGGATTAGTCTTTAAAGTCCGAACTCAAGTTAATGAAGTTGATTGTGTTCTCTTTCACACTCACTGGCTTTTTGAGCCCCATGGTTTAAGTGGGGAGTCAAAAATTTTGCCTCTGGTTAAAGGACATTTAGGCAGCTGGTAAGGGACAGAGCCAGGTCTGTGCCTCTCCCAGGAGCCCCTCACCTTTCGCTGTCTCAGCCTCAAGTCTTTGTTAAAGTTGTCTGCATGGGCCAGCAGGTGGCACGAAGCTTAAGACACCTGGATCTCACACGACCGACCGGGCAGTTTGAGTCCCAGACCCGGCAGCTTGAAAATCACGCTGGGCGTATGTGCGTGCGTGCCCAAAATCCCAAGAGGAGAATGGAGGAGAAGGGATTGGAACGTGGTCAACCCCCTGGGAGATGACTTCTCACTTCCTATCTCTCTCTTGCTTTCAGTCTCTCTCAAACACATGCACCCTGTGTCAAACTTAAAAAATAAATAATAAATAAAGTCGTCTGCATGATCCCATCATGGCTGGCTTTTCTTAAGGCCAGGGGAGGGTGAGCCTTGAAAATTGAAAAAGTGGGGGCCAGCAGGTGGTGCGTGGTGTGGTGATTGAGGCACTGGACACTCCCGCATGGCCGACCACTGTTCAAGTCTCAGACCTGGTGGCTTGCATTTTCACTTTCTCTCTCTGGTCAAATTAAAAATGAATGAATAAACAAAATTAAATACATAATTAAAAAAAAAGAAAATTGAGAAAGTGAAGCTGCCCCTGTTTGCTTTACCAAGGTCTGAACTTCTTCCTTTCCCTGTAACATTCCAGTTGGCTGGAAAGGGTTGGTGCATGCGTGTGTGCTCATGTATAAAATACAATTTAAAAAATTATTTACGGGGCCAGCAGGTGACGTGGCGGTTAAGGGTGCTTGTCTCCCACATGGCCGACCATGGTTTGAGTCCTGGAGCTGGTGGCTTACTTTCTCACTTTCCCTCTCTCACTCTCTTTTGCTCTGTCCCTTTCTGGTCAAATTAAAATAAGTAAATAAATAAAGTTAAATAAAACCATTCTTTAAAAAATTTTAATTATTGTTATTATTATTGTTATTCATTATTTTAAATTTGACCAGAGATAGACAGAGAAAGAGAAAGTGAGAAAGCATGCCACCAGGTCTGGGACTTGAACCGGGGTCTGGCACATAGGAGTCCAGTGCCCTTAAACACCATGCCACCTGTTGGTCCCAATAAATAATTCTTAAAAAAAAAATGGCAGGGGACCAACCGATGGCATAATGGTTATGTCACTGGACCACTGGACCTCCCACATGGTCGACCATGGTTCAAGTCCCAGACCTGGCAGCTCGATTTCTCAGTTTCCCTCTCTCTCTCTCTCTCACTCTGTCCCTCTCTAGTCAAATTTAAATAAATACATAAGATAAAGTTAAATTATTCTTTTTTTTTTTTTTGAGATGTTTTCGCTATAGGGCGCGTGTGCTCGCCAGACAGACAGAGAGAGACAGAGAGATAGAAAGCGAGAAGTCACCCCCCAGGGGGGATGGTCACGCTGCAATCCCTTCTCCATTCTCCTCTTGGGATCTTGGGCACGCACGCACACGCGCCTGGCGTGAGTTTTACGCCACCAGGTCCGGGACGCGAACCACGGTCGACTACATGGGAGTCCAGCAACATAGCCATTACGCTAACTGTTGGTTCCCAAGTTAAATTATTCTTTAAGGAAAAAAATAGATAGGAGTCAGTAGGTGGTTAAGGTGCTGGACTCTTACATGGCTGACTGTGGTTCTAGTTCAAGACCTGGTGGCTTGAATCTCACGCCAGGCACGTGTGCATGTGTGCCCAATATCCCAAGAGGAGAATGGGGGACAAGGGTTTACAGTGTGGCCATCTCCCCGGGGCGCGGGGTGGGTGATTTCTCACTTTCCCTCTCTGTCTTGCTCTGGTGAGTGCACACACCCTGTAACCAAAATGTAAATAAAAGGGGTCAGAGAGCTATGAGAACGCTGAAGGAACAGGCGGTGTGTGACAGCACCCCCAAAACTAGCTGAGTGTGTGGAGGCCTCTGGGAGGGTGTGTGCTGGGGAGGGACACGGGGCTGTTCCTGAGCGGTAGTTCTCTGACTCTCTCCCTTTTAGCTTCTGGAGGCAGGAAGGTAGTTGTCTTCATCTCTAGGTCACCACCAGAAAGCCCTTCACGGGTCCCGGTGGGGCGCATGGATGGTGGACATAAGTCACAAGGTGGCGTAGTGGTTAGGAGTTTGTGTGTGTGACTTATGCGTGGAGCTTAATGGCTCTCGGCTTCAGTTTTTTCGCCTATAGAATGGGGTTACTGACATCTACTGAGGATTGTGTGTACATGTGTGTGTTGGGGGACAGAGTAAATGACTGCAGTAAGCACTGCAGAAAGGAGCTGGTAATTACTCATGTTCCGGACGACAGTTCTCGAAGCCCAGGGGTACGGGCGGCAGCCGTGCTGTACGAATGATGCAGTATTGTGAGTCCAGTTGTGGGAAGAGTGCCAACCAAATGAAGTGGTCAGGGCAGGCTTCTTGAAGGAAGTGTCCTGCAGACTGGGCCATGAAGCAGGGCAGGAGGTGGTTGGGCAGGGGCTGCCCGGGCACAGAGGGAGAATATTGGGTGGGAGGTCTTGGTGACCTGGGATGGGTATTATGGGGTGGGGGTGGGAACAGAGAGTAACTCTCCTAAGTGGTGAGTGAGCAGGGCAGGTGGTAAGAATGTATTATAGAACAGTTGGCTTTGCGGGGGGGCAGCAGGTGGCGTGGTGGTTAAAGTGCTGGATTCCTACATGGCTGACTATGGTTCGAGTCCCGGACTTAGCAGCTTACTTTCTTACTTTCTATCTCTGTCTCTCTGGTGAATTTAATAATAATAGTAATAATAATAATAATAATGATAATATTAAATAGACAACAACAACAAACAGTTGGCTCTGAATAGCAGATGGAGCTGCTTCCTGTTGGCCAAGAGCGTGCTGGGGACTGAGGAGGGCCCACTGAACTCTCTCCCCTTCACTGCCTGTGTGTGCACACCCTGGGAGCTGCGGCCCTCAGATCTGGTGACAGCCTTTCTTGCTGGCAGGATGCTCTGAACCCCTGGGCCTGAAGGACAGGATCATTCCTGACAAGCAGATCACGGCCTCCAGCTACTATAAGACCTTTGGCCTGCGCGCCTTTGGCTGGTTCCCGCACTACGGGCGGCTGGACAACCAGGGCAAGATCAACGCCTGGACCGCCCAGAGCAACAATGCCTCCGAGTGGCTGCAGGTGGGCGGGGCCCTCCCTGGTGCAGGACTGGACGTCAGCTGGGGTCTGGCCTGTTGGGGTCCACTGGGGCTGCCAGATCTTCCACTCTGCCCACCCTGGGCTTCTGCTCCCCAAGGGAGTTTCTGAAAAGCCTTGCCTTTCTCTGTGGCTCTTCTTTCACCCACGTGCCCCACCTTTCTCCTGTCTGTTTCTGCCAAGGTCGGCCAGGTGGAGAGGGTATGTGCATATGTGGGGTAGAGCCACCCCTGTTGGCTGCCACGGGGTCGCCAAGGCTCAGCCCGTGGACAGCAGGGCAGGATGGAGGAGGAGACCTGAGCCAGTCACCTTGGCTCCATACCCTGGAGCACAGGGCAGATGTTCTCGGGCTCAGTCTGAGAACCTACCAGGCAGTTAGAGGGCAGCTGCTGGGTGTCATCCAAACTAGGGAACATGGGGCTGGCAGGTGGCATGGTGTTGAGCCTCTGGACTCTCACATGGCCGACCAGGGTTCAAGTCCTGGACCAAGTGGCCTGCAAATCACAGCAAATAGATAGATAGAGAGATAGATAGATAAAGATAGATGTAGGTTTTAAAAAACCTCCAAAAACTACTGGGGAACACAAGAGAGTCATGGAAAACCAGAGGTTTTATTTTTATTTATTTATTTTATTTTAGAGATTTTTGCTATAGGATACGTGCACTCGACGAAGAGACAGAAAGTGAGAGATCTCCGTCCAGGGGAGCTGGGAGACAGAAAATGAGAGATCACCCTCCAGGGAAGATGGCCGTGCCACAATCCCTTCTTCTTCTCCTCTAGGAATTTTGGGCATGCACACACACATGGCCCTGCATGAGTTTAAGTTGCCAGGTCCAGGACTTGAACTGTGGTTGATTTTGTGGGAGTATAGCAACGTAACCATTATGCCATCTGCTGGTCCCACCAGAGTTTGTTTTTTCCTTTTTTTTTCTGAAGAGGTTTTTTACTATAGGGTGCATGTGCTTGCCAGAAAGACAGAGACAGAGAGACAGAAAGAGAGAAATCACTCCCCGGGGGTATGGCCATGCTGCAATCCCTTCTCCTCCATACTCCTCTCGGGATCTTGGGCATGCACACACATGTGCCTGGCGTGAGTGTAAGCCACCGGGTCCGGGACTCTAACCGTGGTCAACTACATGGGAGTCCAGCGACATAGCCATTACGTCACCTGCTAGTCCCTCATGCCGGTTTTATAAAGCTGAGGAAAATGAAGCTCGGCCAAATGAAGCCGCTTTCCCCAAACTAGAACTCATGCTCTGCATGCCTGGCTCTTCCCACCTTCCTGGAGATGATCTGTGCAAAGAACATGTGGTTGGTTTCTCTCGTAGGTCGACTTGGGCTCCCAGAAGCAGGTGACGGGCATCATCACCCAGGGGGCCCGTGACTTTGGCCACATCCAGTATGTGGCCTCCTACAAGGTGGCCTATAGTAACAACAGCCGGGACTGGACAGAGTACAGGGACCGCGGGAACGCAGACAGCAAGGTGGGTGTCTGCCCTGCTGGCCTCCCCTTGCCGTGCTCGGGCACCCTAGGAGTCTGGCCCTGGGCTCTGAGGGGTGGGGGGCTGGTTCTGGGGCCCTCTTGACGCCCCCTGTCTCCAGATCTTCCGTGGCAACTCGGACAACAACTCGCACAGGAAGAACTTATTTGAGACGTCCTTCCTGGCCCGCTATGTGCGCATCCTGCCGGTGGCCTGGCACAACCGCATCACCCTGCGCCTGGAACTGCTGGGCTGCTAGGGCCAGGCCCAGCCCGAGTGACCCTCAGAGGGGACCTGTCGAGGCACCGGGGTCACCTGCCCCTTCTCCCTCAGTCACCTCCCTTCAGTCGCCTCCCTTTGGTGGGCGTGCTGCCTCCTCAGGCTCTGTCCTGATTATAATGAGGCTGGGGCAGGGGAGGGACGGGCTTTCAGAGGAGCTGCCCGCCCTTCCTCCTTCATCCTCACCCTCCGCCTCCCACCTGTCCCTGGTGCCGGGCTCCCCCACTCACGCACACACACACACACACACACACACACACACATACACCATGTCACATCATGTTCCCAGGTCCCTAGAGCCAGGCCTAGAGATGCCAGGCTGCAGATAATGGTCTGTCAGCCCTGAGACACGATGCTGCCACACCTGTCATGGCCACCTGGCCCAGACACCTACCCTATCTCCTCAGAGACCTCTCTTGACCCTTGTCATGAAGCCCAAAGGGACAGGGGGAGCAGCGGGCCTCAGGAGAGGCAGGGGCAGGAGCAGGGCTCCATCTTGGCTGGCTCTTCACCCCGGTGCCCACAGGCAGCTTCCAAAATATATTTATATTCTCCACTGGGACTTGTGCTGTGGTTCATCTGTGCTCCATCTGTGGCTGCTGCTCTAACATCTGCTGGGCCTCCCAGCCCAGCATTCTTGCTGCCCTGCCTGGTGGGGGAGACTGGTGGGCACCCCCTGGAGAACATCAGGACTTGGAATTCTGGGAGCCTGGCCTCCCCTCCCAGTCTCCACGTCCAGACCCTCCTGGCGCTGGGGTTGTTGCTCTTGCCCCCTGGTGAGGGGCCCAGGGATGCCTGGCCCAGCAGCGTCTCCTGAACACCTCCGCTCCCTTCCTACGCCAGGAAGACAGGCCAGGCCAGGCCCAGGCTACTGGTTTTCTCCTTGGCAATTTACACTTTCTTTGCAGCTGGAGCAGTGGGCCGCAGAAATGATTAGAAAGCCAGTGAGCATGGGCTGCCATCAGAGCTGCAGGGGTGGGGAGGCGGGGTGCAGTGTGGGGTGGAAGGAGGAGGCCGTACCCTGCCAAGACACCCTGGCAAGACAGTGCGAGGCCTTCCTCTGAGCACAGTGTCCCCTGGGAGGTTGCTGGCACATGCACTCCAGGGTGGCGAGGAAGCTCTAAAGGGACCCTCTGCCTTCCTCCCCATGCAGGGACCACCGAGGATTGCAGGCAGTGCAGGCCGGTTCCCTGGTGATCCTGAAGGCAGCCGGCAGGTCTGGGAGGGGGATACACTTGAGCATATTAAAACCATTTTCCAGACGAGTTCTCCCTACCAACCCTGGGGGAGCCATCCAGGTCCCGGCAGCTGGAGGGCCAGCCACGTGGCAGCTCAAAGGAGGCTGTGGCTTTATTGGGACTACATCTGGGAGACATCTGGAAGTGGCTCCTTTCTGAGAGCTGTCACTGCCAGGGCTCTCTTGCTGCAAGGAACAGAAGAGGTCTAGGCGGTCCCTTTATGAGCTGGGGCAATGGAAAGGCCCACTCCAAGGTCCTTCCACCCACCACCTCCTGATTCTGAACGCTTGTCTGTGGAGCTGTGGGTTTGGAGCTCAGTAGTGCTGGGAGGTTGTTGACCTCAGGATCCCCTCCTGGGGCATTTCCCACCCCAGTCTTGCTCTGGCCTCCCCAGAGACCAGCAGACAGTGAGGAAGAAGCTCTGCTTTGGGACGGTTCTTTGCCCCCAGGAACTTCTGCCTTGCTAGAACCCGGAGTCGTCCTTGCAGACAGGAAGCTTCTTCACTCCCGTGTGCCAGCTTGCTCATTTTCTGCGGGCTGCCTCAGGCTGCCTGGCTCTGTGGGCTGGGGGACAGTGTTCTCGAGGCCCTACCTCACCTGGGAGGTGACTGAATCATCCTAGCCATCGCGCAATCTTTTCTTGCTATCATTTCTGGAGCCTCAGACATGGTGGCCACAGCTTTCTGAAAGCCCCCTTGCCAGGACGCCGGACCAGAGTCCCCCTTTCCTGACCCGCTCTTGGGCAGTCTCCTCTTCCACAGCTTTTACCATCACCTCCATGAAACGGGACTTTTTCAAGTGACATGGTGTGCAGCAGGTGTTAGGGACACGGGCATGCTCTCTTCTTCCTCTTTTTTGACTCCTTCATGGTTGCAGCAACTGGGACTGCAGTACAGTCACCCACATGCAGCTTTTCATTAGTGCCCAGGAACTACACACCCTCGAGGTGACCGGCCAGGACTCTGTCACCCAGATCAAGGCCCGTGTATTCTCACTGGAGGGCATCACCCCTGAAGGTCAGGTCCTGCTCCTGGCAGGCACACCCCTGGAGGATGAGGCTACGCTGGGCCAGTCTGGGGTGGAGGCCCTGATGACTCTGGAAGGAGCCGGCCCCACGCTTGGAGGTAAATTCTATGGTTCCTTGGCCCCTGCTGGGAAAGTGAGAGGTCAGACTCCCAAGGTGGCAAGACAGGAGAAGATGGGCCAGGCCAAGTGGCAAATGCAGTATAATCAGTGCTTTGTCAATGTCGTGCCCACCTTCGGCAAGAAAAAGGGCCCCAGTGCCAACTCTTAAGTCCTTTGTAATTTTGGCTTTCTCCAATAAAGCCACTTAGCCCAGTTAAAAAAACTAAGCAAAACAAAACTGACCTTTTTCTCCCTGATGAGAGTACAGAGAGCCAGTTCGCCACTCCACCTGCTGGCCACCCTTATTCCTGGCTTGCTCTTTTTATTTCGCTATCAGGCATGTGCGCTCATCAGAAACAGAGAAAGTGAGAAGTCCCTGGGGGACGGCCAAGCTGTAAGATTTTGGGCACACACCCTTCTCCATTCTTTCAGGATTTTGGACATTCACCTACATGTACTCCATGTATGTTTCTTTTGCTTTTTCGTGGGAGGCTGTGAATGTCGCCCTTAGGTTTCTGTTTCTCAGCAAACAATTCCAATGGCCATGATTGGCTCCCCTTCAAAAACCTCACCTTCAAAACCATACTCTGATTGGCCACTTTCCATAGCAAATCAGTGAGCTTAGAATCCCTCAGATTTGCATATCTGGCACCTCATGATTGGTCCACAAAAGCAACCAATCATAACCCACCTTTTACAATCCTTCATTTAACCAATCACTGGTTACTAACATGTATATAACCACGATCCCTGGCCCACAATCAGCAGACGACCGTGAAGAGATCTAACAGTGTGTCGTCTCTGGACGACCCTGAAGAGTTGTAACACTGTGTCATCTCCGTGCTGCCCACAATAAACGGACGACCCTGAAGAGCTGTAAGACTGCATCGTCTCCGTGCTGTAACTGCGCCGTTCGTCGCGTCTCTCATTCCTTCCCTCAGGAAACCTGTTGGACACACACCCTTCTCCATTCTTTCAGGATTTTGGACATTCACCAAAGCACACTCCATGTATGTTTCTTTCTCTCTCTTTTTTTTTTTTTTTTTGATTTTTTAAGTAAGTTTTGCCATTGTGTGGGTGCACTGTCCACACAGAGAGGGAGAGAGAGGGAAAGAAAGTGAAAAATCACCACCCTCACAGAGGGATGGTCACCCCATATGATTTTGGGCACACACATATGTACCTGGTATGTTTTTCAAGTCACTGGGTCTGGAACTGGTAACCGTGGAATCCAGTGCCTTAACTACCATGCCACCTACTGACCCAGCTACCACCACCCTCCCACCCAACCCCTACTTACATTTTATTTTTACAAAATTACTTTAACTTTTCAAAATTACTGTTATTGGGACCAGCAATTGGCATAATGGCTATATCACTGGCCTCCCATGTAGTCGACCACAGTTCAAGTCCCAGTCCCAGTGGCTTAAACTCATGCGAGGCGTGTGTGCGTGCGTGCCCAAGATCCCGAGAGGAGAGTGGAGGAGAAGGGATTGTGGCGTGGCCATCCCTCCCTGGGGGGTGATTTCTCACTTTCTGTCTCTGTCTTTCTGGCGAGTGCACGTGCCCAGTAACAAAAACTTGGGACTAGCAGTTAGCGTAATGGCTATGTTGCTGGACTCCCACGTAGTCGACCATGCTTCGTGTCCCAGACCTGGTGGCTTAAACTCACACTGGGCACATGTGCGTGTGTGCCCAAGATCCTGAGAGGAGAATGGAGGAGAAGGGATTGCGGCATGGCCATCCCCCCGGGGGGTGATTTCTCGCTTTCTGTCTCTCTGTCTCTCTCTCTCTGTCTGGCGAGTGCACGCGCCCTAGCAAAAATCCTCCCCCCCCAAAAAAAAGTTTTAAGTCTCAAGTCAGACAGCCTGGGTTCAAATCCTGAGTCAGTGGATATATAAGTGTTCTTGACTTACTAACCTCTTTGTAGAATGGAAATAAGACCAACTCTGTGGCCTTGTGAGAACTAGTGCAATGCACAGAGGCACGGATGCAAAGCCTGGTCCAGCAGGGACCTTGGGTGCTTTGGCCTTCTTTGTCAGAGAAGCGTGCCAGTTTGCTAATCACTGCTGCATCCTGTTTATTTCTCATTTCGCGCTCAGTAGCCAGATATGACTCCTGCAGAGGAGCCTTCAATGGCTCCCTTTTTCCCATCAGGCCCGGCAGTCACTTTTAACAGTACTGTCCCTCTAGTTCACCTCAGTTTGTGAAACCGCTTTGCTCCTGGCTGTATCGAATAATAAAATAGATACGCATACTCACGTGCACAGGCACTCAGGACTGCTTGTCTTGGGGCTGGCAGGTGGTATGGCTGTGAGGGGTGCTGGACTACCATGTGGCTGACCGCGGTTCAAGTCCCAGACCTGGCAGTTTGCTTTCTCACTTTCTCTCTCTCTGAGCCTCTCTAGTCAAATTAAAATAAATAAATAAATAAATAAATGGATAAAGTTAAATAAGAATAATATTAAGAAATAAAAGACTGCTTGTCTTGAGGTATGTTTAGGAAGAGGCTCTGAGCTCCATGACCCTGTGGCCCTTCTCCAAGGCCAAAGAACCCTCTTAGGATTTGCTGTGAAGGAAACAAACTGGGAGTTCAGGCCAGGGCCCCCTCTTGGTCTGGACAGGAAAGAAAACAGCCTGTCTAAGCAGAGGCATCCAGATGGGGAGGGCCCCATCCCTGCTAGAGGACCAGTCAGAAGGCTGATGGTAGGGACACCCCATCCTGTGCCTGTCCCCTCTTCCAGGGCAACTCATTCAAGCCCCACCCTTTAGGGGCAGTACCTACCACATGCTGACACAGTTAATCTGGCTGGTGACTTTTTTTAAAAGAATTATTTTTTTAGTTTACTATAGGGCACGCACGCCCACCTGAGAGAAAAAGAGGAAAAATGAGAAAGCAAGCTGCCAGGTTCCAGACTCCAACCGTGGGTGGCCATGTGGGAGTCCAGCGTGCCTTAACCACCATGCTACCTGCTGGCCTCAGGCTGGTAATTTCTTGATGGCCAAACTCAGGGGCAGGAGGTGGGAGTCACCCCCTTGCTCTTTAGCGGAGAAAGAAAGCAAAGGCGGCCAGAATCCCTTCGGCTCCAAAGCTGAGCGTTCCGGGAGCACTCTGGTCCACCTGCAGAGCGCCGGGGCGGGGCTCCTACACATGCTCTCGCTGGTTTTGGTACCAGGGCTTCAAAACGGGACCTTCCTCCCGGTCGCTCCTCTCCACCCACACTCACCTCCTCCCCAAGACGTGACAGCCGCAACCTGGGACTTCTAGGCTGGATCCCGAGCCTCGCGGTGTGGGGGTGGTCCCAGCCTGCAGCGACTCCTCCCTTGGGCCCAGCCCCTGTTAGGGAAAGGGGCGTGTGTGTTCCTTTAAGGGGCTGGCCCGGCTGGCGCGCGGCGGTTTGTCCGCTGCCGCTTCCTTTCAGGCCATTAAAGATCCCCCAAATCCTGCGACCCCGAACTGGGACAGTCCGCAGCTTCCAGCGCCTGAGCCGTCGAAGAGCCGGCTGGGGACGGTACATGGCTTGAGGGTCCCCGGAATCCAGGGACCCTGTGCAGGCCAGGTTCTTCCCTCGGGGGTTGGGTCTCCTTTGGGTCCCCACGCCCCGCGGGCAGGATCGGGGCCTCGGGACGAGGAGACTGAGCTGGGCACTCGGAGCCCGGGCGCAGCGCGGTTGTGATCGCCTACGGGGGGCGCCCTGGTAGCATGTGGGGTGCGAACGGCGCAGGGGCGCGGGCCGACTCGCGCCCACCCTCGTGGGCACAGCCCGAGCAAGCGCGGTGGCCTGTGACCCCTGTCCCCCGGGGTCGATCGCTCCTTCCCGTTTCGTCCTGTCCGAGTCCTGCCGCCTCCAGCTCAGCTCGCGGCGCGCCCGGCTCTGCCCCGCGCATCTGTCGGGGGCTCTGGGGCCGCGGGCACCTTGGAAGGGGCTGGGGACAACCTGCGTGGCTGCTCGGCCCTGGCCGGTCTGCTCTGGCTGGGCCGAATGGCCCTTCGGCGCCAGGCCACCCGGA